CTGTCTGAGTTCTGTTGCAGAGCACGTCCATCCCTTACAATGACGATTCATCATTTTACAAAGGGGGACTCCAGTGACCTCCCCAGAATCCTGATCCGAATCCAGCAGAACACCTCCGGGTCGTGTTAGAAGTTGCAGGATGAGAAATCTGCAGGAATGACGTGTGGACGTGGAGCCGAGTCTCAGAGGAATCCATGACGCGGAGAAGTGAGGCTGCTTTGAGAGCAAAGGGAGATCCTGCACAGCATGAAGCCCCAGTGAGTGAATACCTGCTTTATTAATCAGAGCTCGTTTCATGTCTCCATATGGAGGTTTGGGAGTCATCTCGGTGAAAACAAAACCACGTGTTCAGGCTGTCAAACTGTCTTCCGTCGACTTGCAGCTGCATTTGACTCTAAATGTTGGACGTTTCAGATGCTTTTCTGCCTTGGTGGTTATCGGTAAAGTCCTATAATGACATTTAAGCTCTGAATAGTGATTCCAAGGAGGTGTTATCAATGCAAACTGGATGCTGCAGCTTTAGAAATGTGCCTGTTTGGGGATATTTATTGTTCCTTGAATAGCAGAGCTCCCTGTTCAGCATTGCATTGTTCAGATATTTTGCAAGAAGAAAGACTAAATATTTTTTCTTGCTGCATCATATGAGATGTGTGATACACTGCTTCACTGCTTTTAGCTGTGATGATGACAAGTTTAAGAGTAAAAAGCAGTAAATCTGTTGCCTTTTTGTGGTTCGTTTTCACTGCGGTAGAACAGCTCTCTGCTCAGACTTTACCAACTTCATATTCTAGCAAATCCTGAAACCTTGACTTCATGTGTTACTGCGTTGTATTTTCGATTCTCCTTATTTTATTGTGTTCTGTTGTTTTACCTGAACAGCGCTTTGGTTCAACTCCAGCTACTCTTAAATGTGCTGTATAAATAACTTTGACTTTGAGGGACTGAGTTACCAGAATGACCCCTGTCTTCCATTTGTAAATGCCCTTTAAAATATAAAGTGTATTACGCTCCAACGCACCTTTTATAAAGTTCAGCCTCACAACAAATACAAAAATGAAAAACTTCAGGAGCATTAAAAACAGATAAGTCTGTCCGTTTGGCTGCAGAGCTGCACTGCAAACTGTCAAAAAGTAATATAGAGTCATAAAAATCAGCATTTGGTTATTTGGAGCCAAAGGTTGAGAGTGACGGACTAGTAATTAAATCCATCCATTATCTATACACCACTTAATCCTCACTTGGGGGCTGGAGTCTATCCCAGCTGACTTAGGGTGAAGGCAGGAGACACCCTGGACAGGTCGCCAGTCTATCACAGGGCCACA